TGGTACCCTCTGAAAGCGTCGAGGAACGACATCAACTCGCACCCCGCCGTCTCGTCCACCAGCTGATCGATGTTGGGGAGAGGGAACGGGTCCATGAGGCACGCCTTGTTCAGGTCAGTGTAGTCAACACACATTCTGAACGTCGGCGGCTTCTGTGCGAGGACGACGTTGGCCAACCATGTTGGGTACTTCACCTCTTTGATATGTTTGATTGATAGGAGCATGGCGACCTCCCCTTTGACGAAGTCCCGCCTGTCAGCGGACAAGTAGCGCCGCTTCTGTTTGACGGGCGCAGAGGCCGGATCGACGGTCAGCCGGTGAGTGATCACCTGGCGGCTGATGCCGGGCATATCGTCCGGGCCCCACGCGAAGACAACGGCGTATGACCGTAGGACGAGGAGGATGGCGTCTCGCTGGTCCTGGGGGAGTTGCTTTCCGACCCTGAGAACCCGCTCCGGCCGGGAGGTATCCAGAGGGATTTCCTCGACCTCCTCGGTTGGCTCCGCATGTGGCCTCTCCTCGTCCATGGCGGCGGCGGCCGTGATGGTATCTATCCGCTGTCCCTCCCTTTCGGCCGGCCTCGTCAGCTTGAGGTAGCAAGCTCTGGCTATCCTCTGATTTCCTCTGGCGTAGCCGATGCCGTCGCTGGTGGGGAACTTCAAGCATAGGTGCTTCATGGAGATGATGGCCTCCAAGTCCTCCAGCGCTGGCCGGCCCAAGATCAAGTTGTGGGCGCACTGGAGGTTGACCACCATGAACTCCATGTCAATTTTGGCATGGTGGGGGCCGTCACCGACTTCCACGGGGAGGACTATCGTGCCCTCGGCGTCGATAGAGTCCCCGGTGAAGCCGGATAACGGGGTCTTGATCGGCTTCAGCAGAGCTCTGTCCAGCTTCAGCTGCTTAAAGGTGTCTAGGTACATCACGTTGACGGAGCTCCCCGTATCGATGTAAGTGCGGTGGATGATGGAGTCACCGATCTCACATCGGATGACGAGGGCGTCCCTGTGTGACTCCGTACCCGGAGGCAGATCCTTGTTGGTGAAGGTGATCGCCTCCGTTCGCTGCTTCTTCGGCTGGGGGGGAACGTGGGACACCTCTCCAATGTAAAGGGATTGGGCCCATTTCTTCCTCTGAGTGGCGGAGTCCCCCCCAGTGTTCCCGCCCACGATGAGGTGGATGTGATTCTTCTTCGGCGGAGGCTCCTCGAAGTCCTCGTCGTCGCTGAGTCTACCAATCTCGCGCTTCTTCGCAGAGGGTTCGCCCCCACGTTTGCCGGTGTTTACCCAAGTGTTTTTACGTGGGCCACCTTTGACAAACTGGGAGAGTTCCCCCTGGCGAATAAGACGCTCGATGGCCTTCTTTAATGTGATGCAATCGTCGGTGTTGTGCGACGAGTTCTTGTGGAACCGGCAATACGTGCCGCCCTGTTGGATGGCCAGGACCTCCTCGGCCGGCCGAGGAGCCTGCTCGATGAGGCCGTGCTTCTCGGCATAATCGAGGATGGTGCCGACCGGGTGGGTGAGGGCTACCCCCGGCCGTTCCATCCTCGGCCGCCAGTGGCGGTCTTTCTTACTTTGTCCACCAGAGCCGTGGCGGCCCTGGGCACCCTGGCCGGCCGGGGACGGACCCGAGGCCGGCGAAGGATTTGTCTTCTTGGGGGGATGGCCCCCCTCTCTCTTGTGATTGTGGAGCTCGTCGGCGTCGGCATACAAGCCTCCGCGTTGGAGCGCTTTGGCGTACGACCTCGGGGGGTCAGTGATGAGGCTCCTGGCGTACGGGGAGCTGCGGAGGGCTCCCTGGTACAAGGCGAGGAGGGTGCGCTCATCGGCCCCCTCGACCTCCTCGGTCTCCCTCGTCCACCGGTCGATGAATGACCGGAGGGACTCCTCGTGCTGCTGTTTGACGGAGAGGAGGTGGGTGAAATACTTCTTGGCGCGCTTCCTCCCGGCAAAGTGAGTGAGGAAGCGCTGGGCGAGATCTTGCCATGAGTCAATGCTTCCCTCTGGCAGTCCGTTGAACCACTCGTACGCTGGCCCCTCGAGAGTAGAGAGGAACCAACGGCAGAGGTATTCGTCGGACGCGTTCACCATCAGCATGTTGTTTTGATAACGGCTGAAGTGCTCCTGGGGGTCTGATCGGCCATCGTAGGACTTGATGGCGTTCCCCCTGTACTTCTCAGGGATGGGGGCCGAGAGGACCCTGTTGGTGAAAGGGGTCCTGGTCCTGACCTGGATGATGGGGTCACCCCGCCCTTCGGCCAGCTCCCTCTCCAGGGCGCTGACTTTGTTCATGAGCGCGTTGAGGCCGGGGTCGTTGGAGGCGCCGGCCGTAGGGACGTTGGCCGACTGCTTGGCCTCCATCTGAGCCAACCTCCTTTCCAGCTGGGCGATGACCTCGTCCCGGGGGTCCCTGTCGGCCGCGACGGCACCCGGCTGGTTCCTCCGGCGCTCGTTGTGAGCCGCGTTGATCTGGTGACGCACGTCATCCTCGTGCAACTTCCCCTTGCCCTTGTCCGGGCGGGGCTGGTCCGCTGTCCGGGACACAGACCCCAAACTCTCCCTTGGCGAGCCAGGACGAGGATCACCAATCCGTCCCGCCATCCTCTCCGAAACCGGAAGACGGCGCGTGTCACCTAGCCTATTGAAGGCAGAGGCTTTTCCACGCGCTGGGGTCTGCCCGGGCCGAAGAGGGGAAGCAGGGTGTGAGTGGGACGACGCCGTGTCCTGGGCCACAACCCCCTCATTGTTGCCTATCTGGTCGGCCAGGGGTTGGGGATGAGGAGGTGGAGTGACGTTTCCCCCGGTCCTTGGCAAGAGTGCGCTGAGGACGGTGGGATTCTGAGCCAAGCTGGCGATGATAGCCGATAGTGCGGCCTGGACCTGAGGATCTACGGACGGAGAGGCCGCGGCCATAGGCTGGGCCGGGGCGTGGTCCGCTTTCTCAGCTCGTTTCTTTTCCAGGCCGAGGCGGGCGTCGGGGACTCCGCCGTTGAGTTGGTTGCGGAGGTCCGTCGTGAGGTTGAAGGCTTCCTGGAAGAGGTCCCCTCCGCCGACCTGGTCGGCCGTGGCGTCCTCATCGTGCTCCCTTGGCTCTTGGTCCTCAGGGATGGCTTTGCTGACGAGGTTGCGGTTTGACTTAGTTCTCCCCATGATCAGTGGTTAGCTGTGCTTGGTAGCGACGAAGGGTGCTAACTTGATTGTTCTAGCTCTCAACGACAGCACCAAATGATAGAGTATATCTAGAGAGAAGTGAGAGCTAGAGAGAGAAGTGCAATAATATGCTTCAATAGAATGATTTGTAACCCCTATAACTACTCCCAAGGGGAGTATTTATAGAGAAAATTAGGGTTGGGCTCCCAAGCCTTGGGCTTGGGAGGCCCATTTACAACTGGACCGCTACTGGGCCGAATACAAAGCCACTAATGGACTGTACAAGTGAGTAAGTGTAGGATCCGATTCTGGGAGGTCCTCGTGGCCGACGAGGTCGTGGCCGACGAGGGCACGGCCGACGAGGGCACGGCCGACGGGGGCACCCGGGTTCCTTGGACTCGGGATCATAATCCGGGTTGGCTTCCTCTCGGCCGACGGGGGCGTCTTGGCCGACGAGGGCGTTTGGCCGACGAGGGCGCCACTCTGTCTTGTGCTCTGTTCTTCCGAGTATGTGGGTCCTGGGGCTCAGACCCATATACTCCATCACATTTCATCCGAGAATTGATTGCAGATGGTACTATCAATCTAAAGAAGATCCTTGGTACGAAGAATCTAGCAGACATGCTTATAAGGGCGGTGACAACGGAGAAGTTGAAGCTATGCATGGCTTCAACTGGCCTTCCAGATACTTGATAAGAAGGCGTGAACGAGAAAGAGAGAGATCATGGGTTTTTCAGAGGATACAAGTTCTTGGATGACAGATGATTGTTGACCAAGCCTCCAAGTGGGAGATTGTTGAAGATGGAGCCTTGTTTTGAATGCAGAAGCAGATACCCGACCGGGTATGTTGGGTTACCCGACCGGGTATGCGGAAGCTTTTGGCCTGGTAACTCTCTGGAATGGATACCTGACCGGGCATATGTGAGTTACCCGACCGGGAATGTTGAAGTCTGGACCTGGGAAGAATACCCGCCTGACTACCAGACCGGGTAGCGTGCAAGAAATCCCTCTGGAATAGATATCCGACCGGGTACAGGAGGTTACCTGACCGGGTATGCGGTAAAAATAGAAGTGCGGATTTTTATTTTGGGCCTGCAGCTCTCATGATTGTTTAGGTTTTTTGAAACCTATTTAAACATCTTGTACTTGTAAACTCTGACGCCGACATAATAATACACTGCTCTCTCTCGTTCGCCGTGGACTAGCACAATTACCCCGATTGTGTGAACCACGTAAAATTCTTGTGTTCTTGATCTTTAATTTATCGTTTCTAATTCGTAACACTCATAAACGTGAAAACGGGTGTAACTGTTTCTATTTCTATCAAAACTAAGATTTGTCCATTGTCGCATTCTTGAATAATCAATAACTGGGAACTCTTCAAATAGATGACTTTGGAAAAGTGATATGAATGTTTTAAAAAAGCCTCAATTTTCGAAGTCTTTAATTTGCTTTCATTATGATTAATTTCCAAAGCCTTAAATTGCGTTGCTGATAAATGCATGATTTTCCAAGCAAGCCGGCTGCTTCTCTACTTCTATAATAAGGGTGTTCTGCAATGGGAAAATAAGACAAACTAAAGTACTCCCTCCCTTCCCAAAAATACTTCCCACTTTTCTCTTTGGACTGTTCCTAAAAATACTTCTCACTTTCCCATTTTGGACAATTTGTGTGGCTCACATTCATTTTACCTTTTTCTTACACAACCACAACCATACATTTCCACTTTATTTCACTTTCTTAATAAGCGTGCCAAGTCAAACCGGGAAGAATTTTTAGGAACGGATGGATGGAGTATTTTCTTCTTATTTATACAGTTCAGTAATTAAGTAGTGTACGTAAAATTAATGGGGCATGAATTGAGGGTTTCTTTCTTGGTCATTATCTTCTTCTTCTCATTCACATCCATCTGTACGGTGAATGGAGACCATAACTATAGCGATGCCCTGTCTAAGTCCATTCTGTTCTTTGAGGGCCAAAGATCCGGCAAACTCCCGTCGACGCAAACTATGAAGTGGCGAGGTGATTCTGCCGTCGACGACGGTTCCTTGGCTGATGTATGGTATTTAATTTGAAATAATTGCAAACATATAACCATAATACGAGTACAAATAATGAATAAAAATGTGATTTTATTCGTAATAAAACCTCGTTTAATTTTAATCAAAATTATGATCCTAGCTATTTGGAAGCTATAATATTATGAGCCATCCACTTTTTTCTTTCTTTAATTTGTTTTCAAAACACTAACTTCTATAGCTCTATGAATGTGTTTGATCGAGTTGACTAGTAAGTGGAAGAAATACGGAGTATTAAAAAGAATACTTGCTTTTATCAACTAGTAAGTTGATAGTATTTGCTTTAGTAAATGATGATAAAGATGCATGATATGATGATACATCTCAATTTTAATTAAGATATTTTTGTATAAAAGTATCACCGAATAAAATCGCATTTTGAGTGACTCATATTTAAGGAGTGTGTTTTAGTTTAGTAATTAATTTAATTTAGGGAGAAACCGCTAAATAGGACTAAATGAAAATTTAATTGTCAACATAGGAATATAACTTAATTTTTTTAAATAGGGCTAGCTTTCCAATTGTATCCTTACTTTCTTTTAATACAATTCATATTTCATTAATAACTAAAACATAAAAGTAATAACATAACTTTATTTATAATAAAAATGTAAAAAAAAACAAAAAAAAAACAAACTAAATATTAAATAAAATTTATTTTAAGAATTCTAAAATCAAAAAATTTTAAAAAATTAAAAATTTGTAAAATTAAAACCAAAAAACAAAAAAAACGTACTATATTTTGAGAAAAATGCCAACATGTGTTAGAAATGTCATCTTGATGGTACGTAGTTTTTGAGAAAAAATTGACATATTTTTAGTATTTTTTAAAAATATTTTTAGAATATTTTTATATTTGTTTTTCTATTTTTGGTATCAGTTAAAATATTTTTTATTATTTTTTGTTTTTATTATGGATTGAAAGAATTACTTGATTATTAATTGTTGATTTTTAATTTCCATCTTAGATGATTTATGAATCCTAATAAAATCTTTACACCGTGAATGTGTTTACATGGTTGTTTGATTGTATATGTATGTATTTTTAATTTTTTTTATTACACTATGTGTGAATTGTCAAATACTTTTTTGGGACTTTTTTTGAACTATTATTATTGTGAATGTGTTGATATGGTTGTTTCATTGCGTTGTTTGTTTATTATGTACTTATGTGCTTTAAATTTTTATCAAGCATTATTATGTGCACCACTACAACTGTGAATGTGTTTTAGTTTTTTTAATTACAATTTGTTATGTAATTAAAAATTTTATGTGACAGTGTTAAAATTTGTCGGTAAAAATTTAGTTATTTAAGAAATTTATAAATTTAAATAATTTTAATGTATAAAAGAAACCAAAATGTCACTTGTACATGTTGGCTTAGCTTACACGTCCGCTTAGATGTCAAGTGTACTTTTTCAGTGCACAAACAATGATTTTCATTTTAGTAAAGGAAATTGCATATTTGTGCATTGATAATTCACTTTTTTGGGGTCACAGTCAACTAAATTTAATTTAATAAAATCAAAACTAAGATGGATGGGAGAAAGAATTCAATGTAAGAATTGAATTGTAGGAGGGATGGATTAGATATTTATATGCACGGAAGATCTGATGTGGAATTCAACGTCCCAGGTGGACTTATCCGGCGGATACTACGACGCCGGCGACAATGTGAAATTCAACTTTCCGATGGCCTTCACTACAACAATGCTGTCATGGAATGTATTGGAGCACGGCAGGCGATTGGGCCCTGAATTACAGAACGCACGTGCTGCGATCCGATGGGCCGCCGACTACCTGCTCAAGTGTGTGACTGCCGCACCCGGCCAGATCTTCGTCGGCGTCGGAGACCCAAATTCCGACCACACTTGCTGGGAACGACCGGAAGACATGGACACTGTGAGGAGCGTTTACTCTATTTCGTCGGAGCGTCCAGGGTCTGACGTGGCAGGAGAAATGGCTGCCGCGCTGGCTGCGGCTTCCCTGGTTTTCCGGAGAGCCGACCCGGCTTATTCCAAGAAGCTTCTGGGTAATTCAGTTGACGTGTTCTGGTTTGCAGTCCAGTACGAAGGAAAATATAGTGATCAACTGAAATCTGCAGTTTGTCCTTTCTATTGCTCTTATTCTGGATTCAAGGTATTCCATTTTATATTTTGATACTCCCTCCGTTCTATAAAATAGTTCCCGTTTTGACTTGGATCGGAGTTTAAAAAAATGAGAACAAAGTGGAAATGTATTATTGTGGTTGCGTAAGAAAAAGGTAAATGAATATAAACCACACAAAACTTTCCAAAAAGGGAAATAAGAACCATTTTTTAGGACGGCTCAAAAAGAAAACTGGAAACTATTTTGTGGGACGGAGGGAGTATTTGTTAGGATATACTCGCTCCGTACAATAAAATTCTTCCAATTTCTTTTTTGGGCCGTTCAAAAAAAAATCTCACTTATCATTTTTGGATAATTTGTGTGACTCACATTTATTTTACCTTTTTTCTTACACAACTATAAGTATACATTTTCACTTTACTTTCACCTCCTTAATATGCGAGCGAAGTCAATGTGGGAAGAATTTTATGGGACGAAGAGAGTACTACAAGTAAATACTTCCTCCGTCACGAAAAATTCTTCCCGATTTGGCTTGGATCGGAGTTTAAGAAAGTGAGAATAAAGTGAAATGTATGGTTGTGGTTGAGTTAGAAAATAGTAAATGAATGGTAGCTACACAAACTTTTCCAAAAAGAGAAATGAGAAGAATTTTTTGGGACGTCCCTAAAAGGTAAGTGAGAAGAATTTTAATGGATAGAGGTAGTAAAGTAATTTGAACTTTAAACACAACTAAGGAAGAAGAAAGATTAGAAGGACAAGATTTTAAATTTGTATTAAATGACCATTTACATGCATAATTTTGAGTAGGGTTCAATTCCGATTTGGCTCGGGTGAAAGCTGATTCGGGTTCCACTTAAAAAGGGGTTCAATTCAATACTTCCTCCGTCCCACAATTAAGTTACCACTTTCCTTTTTGGGTAGTCCCTAAATTAAGTTCACACTTCCTTACTTTCCTTATTTGGCAAATTATCTACATCAAAACAGTGTCAAACAGTGCAAAACAGTGTCAAACAATGTCAAACAGTGTTTAAACAGTGCAAAACAGTGCACTCCACAGTAAAGTCAAATTTATTTTCTTAATATGTGTGAAGTCAAACCAAGAACTTAATTGGAGGACGGAGGGAGTATATAGTATACTCAAAGCGAATAATAAGTGATGAAAAATTGATTTTCGAAATTTACTCATTTGAAATGGAAAAATAAAATTCATGAATTTTCAAATGGGATTGTCTCACCCCAGACACACAACTAAAGGGATTTGCCCGCACTAATCATACAAAACTGAACTGAACTCAACTTAAATCGGACTATGTTTATTTCGATTTTAGTCGATAGCATTACTTCCAAACCGTATTAAATCATACCAATATTAAAAAAGCAGGGGGAAACCTCGAATGAAACAATTAATATATTATTAAAATATAACAAATCCAAACCGAACCATGCTGAACCAAACCAAAACAAATATAGTACTCCCTCTGTCCATAAAATAGTTTCTGCATCGACTTGGATCAGAGTTTAAGAAAGTGAGAATAAAATGGAAATGTATGGTTGTGGTTGAGTAAGAAAAAGATAAATGAATGTGAGACACACGAAACTTTCCAAAAATGAAAATGAGAACTATTTTATGGGATAACCCAAAAAGAAAATCGGGAACTATTTTGTGGGACAGATGCCCAGATGGAGTATGTTTTTTCTTGGTAATCATTTTTCTAATCCATTTCAAATTGAAAGAACCGAAAAGCGATTAAGCCAAAACCGATTATTATTACCGACATGTGCAGCCCATCTCGGCTTGATAGGTGTAATTAAACTAATTATAGAGTAATAATCAAGTAAGGAGTATACAAGTTCATGATGGATATATTTTTGTTTTGGTGTTGGCAAGGATGAGTTAATGTGGGGAGCAGCTTGGCTCTTGAGAGCAACCAATGATGACTCATACTACGAAATCATCAAGGCCTTGACAGTCGAATCACCAGACAATTTCAGTTGGGACAACAAGGTTGCTGGTGCCTATGTCCTTCTGTCCAGGGTAAGAGTCACCCACCTCCTGAAATGAACTTCAATGTTTCACCTTATGCATACAATATTTCATAAAATTTTTTCATATATGTGACTAAGAATATGAGTATATTGTTAAACAGATTGTCGTTGTATATATGTTTAATTGAAGGCTTGAAGTAGAGTAACTTTCATATCATGCCGGCCTGATGGGAATCCTGTCAGGCCAACTGCATTTTAAACGGAAAATTAAGTTTATGGTTCAATTTTTTATTAATTAGTATTCTACAACCTCACTTTTCACGTCTAACACTTATTTAACGGTTAATATTAATTTATCTTAAAACTCATATTGAAGCGGAAAAAATTCGACCATAAACTTCATTTTCAACTAAATACAAAATCGCTCGTTCAGACGATCTAATATGAACATTATATGTATCCTTAATGATATACGAAATATGCACACTCTTTTTTCAGAGAAGTCTGTTTGCAAATGGCAAAAAGTACCAAAACTACGCACAACTTGCAGAGGACTTTATGTGTAAAATCCTTCCGGACTCCCCTTCTCTCACTACACATTATACAAATGGTAAAACTCTAATTGCCTCTTTCAACTAACTTCTTCCTGATTGCCTCTTCCAACTAGTCAGCAACTAAGGCATTTTGTTGCTTACTTTCAATGAAACTTTACCAAACAAACGTATTACCATTTCCTATAACTATGAAAGTTTGGTCATCGTCCTCTTGCAAAACTTTTCTATTGATGTATTCTACAAAGTATATAAATCGATTTTGTTACATGGATATGCTTGTTTTATACTATCATATATTATACAATAGGTGGTTTGATGTACAAGTTGCCACAGAGTAATCTCCAATATGTGACATCTATATCATCCTTGACGACAACATATGCAAAGTACATGGCTTTCAGTAAAAAGACCTTCAACTGTAACAATCTCGTAGTCACTCACAATACCCTGCGAAGCTTTGTAAAAAAACAGGTAAAAGTACTAATCTGCTGATTATTGGATGCGAGTTTATTGCTCTATTTGAATCTCAATGTTCTAAATGAAAGTTGAGAGGTCTTTATGTAGTCAAAAAACGGGATAAAGAAGGAAAGATAAATGAAAGGCTTAAGTATTCGATGTATTAATTCAATGAAGTAACAAGGCTATATATAGCCATAATAATATTAAACAAAGTGATCCATAGATGACTCAACTAACTCCTATCAAATGAAATGAGTGGAGATGAAGCAATATCTCCATAAAAATAGCTAACTATAAAGACTTGATCAACATAATCTACAAAAAATGAAAAGATAATGTCTTTCCATCATTTCCACGTATGTATGTTGCATGCATCACTCATGCACACGTAGCTTGGTCAACTTTCAACACCTCCCCTTGATCCAAGCTTGCACATTCCTATTTTCTACATGAAGTAGTGATGCTTGGCTTGATTCAAGGCTTTAGTGAACAGATCTGCATTCTGAAAATTAGTTCCACAGAACCTCATAATGATCTCCCCTTCTGCAACTATCTGCCTTATAAAATGATGTTGTACTTCAATATGTTTTGTCCTTGCATGGTATACTGGATTCTTGGTAATAGCAACGGTTGATTTGTTGTCACACCATAACTCTATAGCCTCATCCTGATCATGCCCTAAATCTTTCAGTAGTTTCTTTAGCCAAATAGCATGCCTAGCTGCTGCACCTGCTGCAACATACTCTGCTTCTGAAGAGGACAAAGCAATTGTTTCTTGCTTCTTGGAGCTCAGGAGATTGCTCCTGATCCAAGGTTGAACACAGACCCTGATGTGCTCTTCTTCTCATCCAAACAACCTGTCCAATCACCGTCAGTATGCCCAACCAGCTTGCAGGCCTTCACACTTTCATAGAGTAGCCCGTACTCAACTGAACCTGCAACATACTTAAGTACTCTTTTTGCTGCACCTAAGTGTTGTTTGCTTGGAGAGTGCATGTATCTGGATATCACACTAACACTGTAGGCTAGATCAGGCCTAGTGTGAGTGAGATAGTTCAAACCTCCTACTAGACTCCTGAAAATTCTTTCATCAACTTTACGAGTTCCATCCTCTCTGCAATTTCTCACTTATGTTCATAGGAGTTTTCACAATATCACCTTCCTCCACCTGAAATTTCTTAAGCATATCCCTTGCATACTTTCTTTGATACAAGAAGATACAATCATCTCCTTGGTATACTTCTAGGCCAAGAAAGTACTGAAGTAGTGCAAGATCAGTCATCTCAAATTGCTTCATCATAACATGTTTAAATTCTCCCAACATCTTAGGAAAGGAGCTGAAGTATATAATGTCATCTACATAAAGACAGACCACAATAAAATCATGCGTACCTTGCTTCTTTATGTAGAGTGTTGGCTCATTTTCACTTCTCTCAAACTTGTTTTCAAGAAAAAATGAATCAATTTTACTATACCATGCACATGGGGCCTGCTTCAACCCATATAGAGCCTTTTTTAGCTTGTATACTTTCTCACTTGCATTTTCTTTAATGAACCCAAGTGGTTGCTCAACAAACACTTCCTCCTGTAGATTTCCATTAAGGAAAGCAGACTTCACATCTAACTGAAACACTTTGAGCTTAATTTGAGCAGCTAAGGCAAGAACTACTCTCACTGTTTCCATTCTTGCTATAGGAGAGAAGGTTTCTTCAAAGTCCATTCCCTCCTCCTGTGCATAACCTTTTGCTACAAGCCTGGCCTTTTGCTTCTGAATGCTTCCATCGGTATTAAACTTGGTTCTAAACACCCATTTCAGACCAATAACATTCTTCCCTTCAGGAAGATCTACCAACTCCCAGGTTTCATTCTTTTCTATTGATCTGATTTCATCATTCATGGCTGATTTCCATTCCAAACTTTCCTTTGCTTCATCAAAGTTAGTTGGATCTGCAGCCATTAAAGCAAAGTCATAGTTCTCATATATATCAACTAGGGACCTGTACCTTCTAGGAGTTGAATCACTTGATGAATTTGATGGTGAAGGAGATGAACTTGAGGAGCTGGAACCCTGACTGTATGAAGAGGGTGTTGAGGGAGGCTTCCATTTTGATCATTTTCTAGCTCAGTAGGTTCCTCCTCTGATCCATCAAACTGTACTGAGCTTTGAAAGTCTTTGTTATATGCTTCCCAATTCAATCGCGATTCTTCATAAAAAACAACACTTCTACTGACAATGATCATGCTAATTTGAGGGTTATACAGTCTATATGCTTTAGATTGAGAGAAATAGCCAATGAGCACACACTTGACAGTTTTATCATATAGCTTAGACCTTAAATCAATTAAAGCATAAGCTATACACCCAAATATCTTTAAATGACTTACTGAAGGTTTCTTTCCTCTCCAAGCTTCAAAAGGTGTGCTATTCAGGACTGCCTTTGTTGGTGAAATATTCAGAATATACACAGATGTTGCTACAGCTTCACTCCAAAAGCAATTTGGAACTCCTCTAGCTTTAAGCATGCTTCTAGCCATTTCATCTACAATCTTGTTCTTTCTTTCTGCCACTCTATTTTGCTCAGGAGTATAGGGTGCAGTAAGTTCCTTCCTGATTCCTTCTTCTTCACATAATTTGATGAATTCATTTGAAAGAAACTCACCACCTCTGTCTGTTCTCAAAGCTTTCACATTCAATCCAGATTGTTTTTCTACCATAGCTTTAAAGATTTCAAAGCTATCAAAAGCTTCTGATTTAGCTTTGAGAAAATACACCTAACTCATTCTACTGAAATCATCTGTGATGAGTAAGAAATACTTACTTCCTCCCAAGGATGCTGTCTGCATTAGACCACAGAGATCAGCATGAAGTAGCTCAAGACAATGACTTGCCCTTCATGCTTTCCCAACTGGAAATGATCCTCTTGATTGCTTTCCATAAAGGCAGCCCTCGCACAGTTCAAGTTCACCTATTTTGGGTAGGCCTCTTACCAAATCTTTGGATTGCAGTAGCCTCAGCCCTTGCAGATGTAGGTGACCATACCTCAAATGCCATAACTTTGCATCATCATTCCCCTTAACTATCAGAATTTTGCTTGATCTTCCTGATAGATTAAGAGGAAACATCTTGTTTCTCCCTATTTCAATGCTTACTACTATCTCCTTGGATTTCTTGTTAATAATTTGACAAGTTCCATTTTCAAATACTACTGAGTATCCTGAGTTCACCAGTTGACCTACACTCAGTAGATTATGAGCCGGTTTGGGCACATATTGCATATTACAAAGAAGTTTGATATTACCCTTCTCAGTTGTAATATCAATAGTTCCCATGCCCTTTACTTCAAACTGTTTTCATCTCCCAGCCTGACCATGCTTTGCATTGATTCATCCAGATTTCTAAACATAGCTCTGGCACTTGACATGTGGTTTGAGCAACCACCGTCAATATACCACACACTGCACTCTTCCTCTCCATTTGCTGCAGCCTGAGCCAAGAACAATTTCTCTTCTTCTTGCTCAACAAAGTTGGATTTCTGGCCTTCCTTTTGTTCATCTTCTGCCTTCTTCCAGCAATTCACTTCCTTATGGCCAGATTTGTTGCAATAATAGCACTTGATAGGACTTTTGCTAGGGTGAGAGGACTGATCTCTCCCCTCATTCCCTGCCCCTCTTCCTCTACCTCTTCCTCTAGAGCCTCCTCTGCCTCTTCCTCTGCTAGCTTGTTGGTGAGACCTTTGTTGATTTGAAGATTCTCCTCTACCCTGGAAAGCTTTTTCTTCTTTTGAATCTTCTTCTTCACATATCCTCTCTCCATGGGCTTGAAGAGAACCCTTCAAATCTTCAAAGGTGTAAGTCTCCAGATCTTTTTACTCTTCGATTGCTGCCACTACATGCTCATACTTCTTGGTAAGACTCCTGAGAACCTTACTCACCACTTGACTTGACTTGATTTCTTCTCCTAAGGTTTTCATCTCCTGAAACATTGTAGACACTCTTGATAGATAATCTGGGACTGTTTCCTTCTGCTTCATTTGGAAATTTTCAAATTCCCTTCTTAGAGATTGTAGGCGTACAACAACTACCTTCTTGTCACCAACATACTCCTTGTTCAGTATACTCCATGCCTCTTTTGTTGTAGAAGCTGCTGCAATGTGTGGAAAGATAGCATCATCCAAAGATTGTTGAATGATGTAGAGTGCTTTGGCATCTTTCTTTCTTTTCTCCCTTAGTGCCTGATCTGGTTCATTAGCACCATCATCATCAAACCCATGCTCAACCGTATGCCACAACTCTTGTGATTTGAAAAGGGTTTTCATTTTTAGACTCCAAAAATGAAAGTTTATCCCTTTGAAGATGGGCAGTTGATTCAAAGAACTCCCACTTCCATTGGTATTTTTCATGGTGAAGAACTACCCTACAGAATGTGTTTTACTCTCACGAAAACACTCACACAGCCCAAGGATTTCCAACCTTAAAGCTCTGTTACCAAATGTAGTCAAAAGACGGGATAAAGAAGGAAAGATAAATGAAAGGCTTAAGTATTCGATGTATTAATTCAATGAAGTAACAAGGCTATATATAGCCATAATAATATTAAACAAAGTGATCCATATATGACTCAACTAACTCCTATCGTTTAGGCATGATAACACGTTCAAATGAAATGAGTGGAGATGAAACAATATCTCCATAAAAAATAGCTAACTATAAAGACTTGATCAACATAATCTAAAAACAAATGAAAAGATAATGTCTTTCCATCATTTCCACGTATGTATGTTGCATGCATCACTCATGCACACGTAGCTTGGTCAGCTTTCAACACTTTACTGGAAGATTATTCCATTCTATTTATAGTTTTTTCCAAATAAATTTCACATGAAACTTTATACCGAGTAGTTTTTTCAAACATGGGGGAAGGGGCTTAGCATACTCGCTATTCCCTATGGACACCGTCCACGATGGTCTTGGATTGGATGGTCCTAAATACTACGTACTCCATATATAGTTAG